GTTTAAAATGTGGCCATCATGCTGGAAAGAAGACTCACCATCATGGTGCATTCTGAACTGCTGTTAGGTGTTCGGAGGTAATCGGCAGAAAGTCTTAGACCTAAGTTTCATACATGTTGGCATTTGTCAGTAAGGTGTATCTGTAACCTGCAGGGAACTCATGTTCCTTCTAAGATTCGTACCCGCGTCACCCAATGCTGCAGTCAAAGATATTACCACGGAACTGTTCGGGCTCGCGAATAACCTCCTGTAGGACTGTATTGGATATTTTTTGAGTGGACATTAGCCATCTAGCATGGTGCTCACATTATAAATTTGACTGATAGAATTCTCTCTGCACCGTAGATAGGACTAGACACATTACACCAGTTACTGACTAGTGTCCAATCAGGTGAAGAGGAGACTCAAAATAAAACGGTGCATACTGCAAGTCATGTTCTGTCTGGCTAGATTGGTAAAATGTCTTCCTTTGACAGTGGTTAAACAGATAAACGATAACGAAAAAGCAGCCAGCAAACCAACGAGTGTTTTTTATTCAGGTTTTACTCAGAAAGGCCACTAATATTCTCACGTAAAGCTCTTTACTTAATTATTTATTTATGCATTCATGTTTGACGGTTCCACTTCCTGTCTAAGTGTCTGAAATAGTACAAAATAGTAATGATATATTATAAAGCATTAATAAATTCCCCTTTTATCTTAACAAGCACTTTATCCGTCTGTATTATTTTGTTCTTTTCGAATTATTCATATAAGATTAGTGAAAAAACATTATTACAAAATGGGTGATTCATTTCACTATTCTTTTTTTAGCATTAGTAAACAGAAATTGTAATGATCCGTTACATAAACACTTTTTCTGTCTATTTGAGTAAGTATTCTTACTACTACTTGGTATTGCTTATCAAATGAACACATAATTAGCATTTTAGTCAAAAATATTTGCATGACAACTTGTAAAAACGACAAAACCTGTATATACACATGCGCATAAAACTAACAGCTTTGCGTAGAGAACAGAATTTGGTATAACTGCTAATTATCATCACACATTATTTCACATTATTTATCAGTACACTTAGAAGGCAAGATTAATAACAGAGATAAACTCTATGCACTACTGTCCTTTTTCTTATTTCCACTCTTCGTGTTCCAAGTGGAACAATATAGCTTCAATCCTTCAGAATTCCTAGCCTCATATCAAGTCTTCACTCTAGGTTTAGCAGTACGTTGACCGAGAATTGAGTCCAGACCACTTATGTAGTTGGCAAGCATGTAACCATCAAACTACCGACTATTTTGATTATGGATTGATATCAGTTAGTGAACCATTGAAAACTCCTGGGGAGTACTACACAGCTGTTTAGTCTTCAGCACCTATGGACCTACGACCCCAAGAAGAGTAGAATCCTAAGAATTAACTATTGCAAATTAATATGATGTTCACTAGTGACTGACTGAAGTTTGAAGTTGTCTAGAATTTTAGTGAGAAGTCATGACCAGTGGGGTCGGGTGTGAGAACAAATATTCGTCGATGTCATTGGCTAGTAAGAGTTGATAGAATTTATAATTCACAGATCACTGAATTCCAACAGAAGTGAATAAATGGTCAACTAACTTAGCCTGGTACCAAGAACTTCCTAGATTTGATCGCTTGTGGATATTTGGGTGGATACTGGTGAAGAGTACTAGGCTACGATGAAATGGCTTTCAAGTACTGTCTTACCTCAATCCGTAATCAGACTTAAAACAAATCATATCCCTTCAAATTAACTTTTGAAAACTAGTCTTGCTATAAAGCTTGAACTCATCAGTAACCATAATTTGAAGTAGTTCCTTTAATATATTTTTATATAGAAGTATGCATGAAATAGAATAAAATCGCTTAAGTATTCTCCTTTTCTATTCTGTTTTTACTGTGTACATGTCTCATAAGTAAACAAAGTGTAATCAGTAGACACATATGTAGTATATGCTTGGTGTTTTTTTTTACATCTAATGACAATGTAAGTATTAGTTTAATAATCAACTAACTCTTGTATTACATAATTTGGGTTATTTTTATCCACCCTCCCAGCTTACCGGCTCAACTAATCTGCTATTACACAGTACTAATACCTATCGAACAACATATTTATATACAATACAAACTTCTCAACAGCTGATTGGCGATCCTCCATGTCAAATGACCCACAACGTAAAACTCAGCGACTTTCCTAATTGCGGTAGGCTGGATTATGCAGCACACCATATGTGGGGAGACAAAAAAGCACATATACGTTAGACCAATAAAAAAAACTCCAAGAGATCTGTATTTTGGAGATAGTTTATGTCTAAAGTCATATAAATCTAAAGACGAACTGTCAGAAGAAGTAGCAAAGACAGGACTTCAAGTAAGCATAGGGAAGAGGGTGGTGATGAAGATTACTAACCAAAGGGGACAATCTTCAGTCACCGTCCATGGGAGAAATCTGAAAAACGTCAGCTGTTTCACTTGTCCAGGCAGCATCGTTTCAACTACAGGCAGAACGGATGAGGGTGTCAAAGTGAAAATCGGAAAGTAAGGTACACCTTCATTACTCTGAAACCAGTGTGCACATCTTCTGTTCCCAGGATAAAGAGCAGGATTGGAATTTTCAGCACCAACGTTAAGTCACTCAGTTCTATTACATGGGTCAGAAATTTGGCGCGTCAATAAAAGCATTTCCAACAGCCTGTTGCAGACTCTAATCAGCAGCTATCTCCACTTCGTATTGAAGATTAAATGGCCAGTATGAAGAGTTAGCAACAATCAAACCATACGAAGGAACAAAACTAGAACCTATTACCCAACAAATATTCCGACGAAAATGGAGATTGATAAGACACATTGAGGAGGCCGTTGAATGATATCACACGCCAGTCCATCGCTCCCGTGGAACCATATTGGAAAACGACGAGTTGGGCAGACGAACGAGGCTGATATAGAGGTAATGAAAGCCTATTAGCAATCGTTGGGTCATATGGAGAGGACCACAGAGGACAAGATAAGGTAAAGATGTACTGCTGACGCTCTACATTCCACTCAGAACTCAAGAGAATAATAATAATTTAATAAAGAATTGTCAGCTTGATTTTATCTACTCCATATACATAATATTTAAGTAAGTGAGTAATCTAAATTATATCATAAGATGGAATTCCGTTCGATCTCAAATATGCCCCCTCCACCCACGGACATATATGTCTCTTCAAAACAACTTAGCGATATTCTGAAAACCATTCAGAAATGTCCCTGAGTAAAGACTGTTTTCAGAGGAGATAAACAGATTGTTGAAGTATAAGTGATTAAATTCAGCTCATTCTACAGGCCGCCAATCAACCTTTTGCAACGATTTTGAACTCATTTAAGGACTAGTTACTTGCTATAAACTACCTAGAATACCATTTGTCAACAAATGATGAAATGAAATAATAGGAGATTGCCATAGTCGTGAAGTTCTCGTTGGACTTACAATTACTGATTTGGTGGCGAGAAGAAGCACATCAATACTAGCTAGTCAGATTCCCAGCCTTTATTCTTCTAATTGCTTCACTCTAACCTTGACGTTTTTTCTCACAATGTATATCTAATCAGTCATTACTAGAAATCTATTTTCCTGAAAATTATTCAAAATCGGTTGTAAAAATTCCTTCTTTTATTATTACTACGTCCCATTTCACCTATGTGATTTTGATGCCTTAATTAAGTCTATTCGAAATGTCGCTTGACTTCAATTCACAACAAGTTTAAAGGTCAGATTATATTAGAATCAAGTTGAACAGCTAAGTAATTCATCAGTGGGAAAAGTAACGGCGCACACCAAATCAATACATATAGGTTCGCCTCGTAACCGGAAGGTCGTGGGTTCAGTCCCATACTGTTAAAGACCTCCAAACTAGGACGAACCAGCTGTTCAGTGCTCCCCAGTCGTCGGCAGCTCTCTTACTTGGGTGATCAAATTTAAAGTCAACCAGGTTGCTTAAAATAAACCTGGGTCTTCTATTTGGCCCAGAAACTTTGCGAATGCTTCATGAGAAACTTTTCCAACATCACGCTAAGGACTTTTATCAGCAGCTGCCTTCGTTGACTCAGTACTGAAGATTAGATGGCTGACCAGAAGGGATAAGCGGAAAGGAATTCTAGCAACGAACCAGCCAAAAGTTGTCGAAAAACAAATACGTCAAATGAAGCGGTGATGGACTAGACACACTCTGATGAAACCATAGAATGAAATAGCGCACCAGAACATTGTTCGACTAGCACCCAATTAGAAATCAATGATTTGGATTTGTGTTCGAGGGTAACATTGTGGAGATTGTATGAAGAGTGGATGAAAGCTCATGAGAAATTGTGGAAACTGAAAACAATAGAGTGAATTCCTATGTTCCACTGGGAACTCAATGGAATAATAACACCGATGCAGCCTAGAAGGACACCACTAGGCACTCTTATCTAGCATTGCACAAGCACTGACAGATGTCAGTTCATGATTAAATCCTCCGTGCAATCAAACAAAATCCCTACAAAACCAGTACTTGAAAATTAATCGGATGCTCACTAGCGACTGGCCCTATTCAAGCAGTTAACCTGGGGTTCTAGTGGGAGGCCGTGACCAGTAGGGTACAGCAGGTTGAAGATGAGGCAATAGCTCATCGAAGAAGACATTGCGAAATGGTTGCGGTATGTCGTGAATTGGCAGAAGTCAGAATTTAAGGAACTTTGGATCGGGTCCCAGTGGCTCAATGGTCTACGAGCTCGCCTTGTAACCAGAAGGTTCTGGGTTCGAACCCTGGTGGATGCGTACTGTGAAGAGCCACAAACTAGGATAATACAGCTCTTCAGTACTCCCAGGTTTTCTAGTGGTTCTCTAACTGGTGTCGGCCCATGGTGAAATACTTCATGCAGTCAAACAAATCCCTACAAAATCAATACTTGAAGATGCTAAATTTCACTGAAAATTTACGAAAGCCACATATTATGCAACATAATTTATTTGTCTGTGAAAATGAGAAATATAACGAAAGTGAATGACAACATTTACTGAATATAAATGTATAGGTATAATTTGATCTAATGATGCTGTGCATAAGGTTTGTAGTCTATTTATTTATAAAATTCGAGTCATTTGATGCCTAGGTGTTTAAATACTGTCCGTTTTGTTACTCTACTGTTTGTTAAAGAGAACTTCACAAGTTACTGGGACACAAATACACGACTGAATCCATTCAAATAAATAAAACTGAACTTGTGACAGCCTTCCCTCCTGGTATTGTTGTTGTTGCTGTTTATACTCGTGTTGGCTATGCTGCTTATCCGACTCATTCTTCTCCGTAGTACATAGAAAACTTAAACGTTTAGTTTTTGAACGATTCGGTAGGCAACAATGACCAGGTGGTGATTTATTACAAAAGTTTGCTTTCAGTGGTTTTATCAGTTGACATATAGTTGATGTGACATTATCTGTGGAATAATTCTTCAACTGTTGTTGTAAGCAGGATGGAATTGAAAGTTGACTGCAGATAGGAGCATTAGACAATGAAGTTCTACTGGAATCGTTCAGCATCAAGAAACGTAGATGACCAGAACGAGAAAAACGAAGAGTTGGCGAAAACTGGCGGTTTCCTGAATTATTCTTCTAAATAAATAAATGTCTTATAAATTTGTAGAATAAATTAAAATAGACAAAATGGCAGAATGCATCTTTAAACCACAGAATCACTTTAAATTACTTGTTTGTTGGTATTTAGCAGAAGAACACACTTCGTCCTGTTTAGGTCTCATCAGTTGGATGTACCTGATTCCCACTGAGTAATTTTTATCCTACTCAGACTTGAACACAGTATTCATCGAGTGAAACGTCGAGGCGTTATTCTTTGAGCCATTACAGGCGACTTTTGTACAGAGAGTATGGTTTAGTGGTTAGCAAAAGAATCCAAGAAGGCCACCACTCGTAAGTGAGCAAATACATTTAGCCGACGAGTACCAAATAGGATGAAGCGGGCTTAGTTCTAAGCAGAATGTTTTTTTAAATTCATGATATGGGAAAATGTCACATTCCTAAATCTTATAACTTCCTCCTCCATCCAAATGCATCAAATGTACTCAATGAGGTTCAACGTAAGGGTGTATGATTCAAGAATATGTACCAAGTTTATAAGGAATTGTAGCCCAAAAAATCTGCATTGCAAACTTTACTAGAAATGGTAACATAGTAGAAGAACATCACAAAACGGCAAGATTTCAAAGCTGCATGTGTAGCATGACTAGAGCTATCAATGGTACATAGATGCAGATTGATAGGAAGCAGTCAAAGTTAAAAACAACATTTAAAGTCAATAGCTGCAGAGGTATAAGCTTTTATTTCTCGAGTCTGGATTTAGTATACGTTATGGTCAGGCGATAATCTCATAGAACAACCCTTCGCCTCGATGACTTAACCTTCAAAAAATCGATAACCGATCAGAACAGTCTAATGTCTGCTGACCAAGCCTACCTTTATTATCACTGTGTAAGTGTAAATATGGTGGTGTTTTCCTTAATGAAAAGTATGTAACCAAGTCCCTTATATTCTGCTGTTACAGGTACACTTAACAAGTTCAGACAGACTTTTAAATAACTTTGACTTTTTAACCCTAGTAATTCACTGCTTATTAAGCAGTGTGTGGGAATGAACCTATTGCCTAGGAAATGTGAAAAGGAAATGAGGATAGATCAAGCGTATTCTGAGAAGACCGTTGACTGAAATTACGTACCAGTCTCTCGAGTCAAACTTGAGTAGGAAACATAGAGTTAGGTGTCTATCTGAGGGAAGATCACGTGAAGAAGAGATGACAGATTATGTAGAACTTTGAAGCTAGCTAAACAAAGCTGTTGTGCGTCGGTGGTATAGCGGTTAGGATGCTCACCATCCATGCACATGGTCCGGGGTTCGGTCCCCGGCCGACACATTCCTTTACCTCACTAAGCCAGAAATAATGCTGGTAAAGAGGAAAGATTGGGCACGAAGCTAGCAACCTCATCCTGTAAAATGAACACTGCTACAGAAACTTCAAGCCACTATCTTAAAGCCCTATGTTCCACCGGGGAACGTGAAGGAAAAATAGCAAACAACAAACAAAGCTGTTAAGAACGGTATGGAATATAGATGTGCCGCTGAAGCCTTTATGTTCCGTTTGAAACCCAAGGGAATAAGAATAACAGGACTGAGTTGCTGTGTAGCCACCCAATCACATCACTCGAAGTGGAATATTCATCCGAGAAATAAAATGACTGAGAAACACAGTGAATACGATCAGGAACATTTCTTCTTGTTTGTCTATTAAAGGTGAATGCAATCCGATTTCCAGAACGCATTATTCCACTAAAATGACAGTGATTAAAAGATTCTTTCACATTTCAGGCATCCACATTTCATAGACACGCTTTCCAGTTTAGACTCAAGAAACCCTATTGTTAGTAAGTGCTTATTTCAGTAAAACACTAAGAGATATCTGAATTACACATAGATCTCTCTTCACATCCATGTATATATGTCTTCACTATAGTCTATGCTAATTTACTAGTAGAAAGAGTATAGTGATGATAACAAAAATAGTCATGACCGATTGGTCTTAGCACACCTGTTTCACATGTTAACAGTGATACTATCACACATGTAATATAACTATGTAATAATAGTTTTCTTAATCAAATCAAATGCTGCTTACATAACTCATCTTTAGTCATCTATTGTCTAAACAAAAACAATAAATATAATAATCCAACATGCATACTGATTAGGTTTACAAGCTCCGAGTGTCTGATTGGTGTTTCTGTTGTTGTCCACGTCATTACTCATGTTTTTTAATACAAATAGATAGTATGATAAGGAGGTGTAACCACTTGTCTATACGTATAGCAATTTTTTATATACAAATTATCAATAATCTTCAATGAATGAATGAATGAAAGATATATGAATTGAGAATAAATAAGTTTAGCTTCAGCATAAAACAAATCAAAAGACTGTCAAAATCACTACCCTGGAAACAAACCACTTGTACATGTAGATAAGAAAAAACAAAACTAATAAAAGATGCTTCAGCGAAACAAGTTTTAATTCACATGACATACCAGCAGAACAGATTTTCAAACATTTAGATAGGCTTTTTGTAGGATTGATAATTACATAATAAACGAAGTGTCTGTGTAAATGAGCAAGTAAGTGTGTCAGTTTTTTGTATTCCTTTGCGTTCCTAGTGGAACATGGGGCTTCAAGCTGAAGGCTTGAAGTTTCTGTAGCAGTGGCGTTTTTCTTTTTATGCGATAGGGTTGCTAGCCTCATGCTTAACCTTTCCTCTTCTCCAGTTTTAGTATTTGGTTTGGCGAGGTAAAAGAGTGCGTCATTGGCCGCCGGACCACATATGGCGTGGTTGGCGAGCGGCCTACTACTGCGCCACCGATGCACTGTGTTATTAGTTTGTTGGAGTTTATTTTTTGTTGTTGTATATCACATTTTCAGCAGTGTGAGAGTCTGCTGCATAATTTCCTATTTGATAACTTGTAAATGATGAGCATCTCTGTGTTTCTCCTACTATTTAAGCGTGCTCTAACAGCAACGCCTAACCCAGTTGTATTCTTCACTCTTAAACAATCCACGTTACGTTTTGTTATTTGGTCCGCTGGGTTCCGAGTACAACGTAAGGTTCCAATGGTACATTTGTCTTGTATTCTGGTGCTCAACTGTAATTTCCATCTAGCTCCGCTGCTGTCCATGAATGTTTATTTCCTCTTCACTTGATCTTCTCCATTTTATCTTCAGATGCTCAGACTGTCATATCCTTTTCAAATATTACTCAACGACCTGGAGTCATTTGAATATCTCTCCAACATATCTCGGATCCACCTCCACTTCTTTTTGCATATTTGTTGGGCATTATATCCTTGGTTGGCTCGATGACTGCCAATCCTTTGTAGATAACCATGGGATCTTCAACCTCGCCAGATACTAGCTTGCTAGGCTACTAGCTTACTAGTTTTCTCGCCGGTCCCAAGCCCGGGTAAAGAGGGAGGGTTGGGGCGTGGTGCTAGCAACTCCACCCCTGTAAAACAACCAAATCGCTACAGAAACTTCAACGAATAAATATATTAAAAATTCTAAAAACATAAGCAATAGCCTTACTTTTCGCTGGAATCGGGGAAGTGAAATGACGCAGGCTGGTGAAAGCCTTCGGGAAGCCAGTCAGCCGATGTGCCTTCTTTCGATGAAAGCAAAAGTAAGGATGGGTACCTGGAATGTTCGTACAATGTACGAAACTGGAAAGGCTGCCCAGATAGCCGCTGAAATGAGAAGGTACAGAATAGAAGTGTTGGGAATCTGCGAGAGCAGATGGAACGGAACTGGAAGGTGCCAACTACCTACTGGAGAGACAGTAATCTATTCCGGCCACCCAGAGGACAACCATGAGCACACCGAGGGAGTGGCCATCATGATGTCACCAACAGCAACCAAAGCTCTCATGCAGTGGGAACCAATCTCCTCCAGGATAATGACAGCCAGGTTCAACTCAAAAGGAAGGAAAGTTACAGTCATTCAATGCTATGCGCCTACAAACGTCTCAGAACAAGAGAAGAAGGAGGCGTTCTACAGACAACTACAAGCAATAATGGACAACGTCCCAAATGGCGATATCAAAATCCTGATGGGCGACATGAATGCGAAGCTGGGAGGAGACAACACAGGAAGAGAACTCACCATGGGTCGTGAGGCCCTCGGTGAAATGAACGACAATGGTGAACTCTTCTCAGACTTCTGCGCCTTCAATGATTTGGTGATTGGCGGTAGTGTGTTCAAACACAAGGATATACACAAGACGACATGGATTTCACCAGATGGAAACACCAAGAATCAAATAGACTTCATCTCAATTTCAAGAAAGTGGAGACGGAGCCTACTGGACACAAGGTCAAGGAGAGGAGCAGATGTGGGTTCAGACCACTATCTAGTAGAAGGGACTTTCAAGGTGAAACTAAAAGCCTCGAGGATAGCTGGGGATAGGCCACAATGCAAGTTCAACACTCAATTACTGAAGGACACAACCACAAAAGACACTTTCACTGCAACTGTCAGAGCAAAGCAGGAAACACTACGCGACATCACTGAAGAATCATGCGTGGAAGAACATTGGAAGTCTCTGAAGGCGATTCTCAACGAAACGTGTTCAACGGTTCTAGGAAGAAAGAAGAGACAAGACAAGGAATGGCTCTCAACGGACACTTGGAAATTAATAGAAGAGAGGAGAATGGTGAAAGAGAAAATGATTCAATGCAAGGACGGACAGGAGAAGGAGACGATGAGCTCAACTTACAAAGCATTGGACAAAGAAGTGAAGAAGAGTGCTAGGAAGGACAAAAGACGATTCTACGACAATCTAGCTACTGAAGCTGAAAAGGCAGCAGGCAAAAGGGACCTGAGGACACTATATCAGATAACCAAATCTCTATCCGGGAAGAGACCAACACAAGCGAAACCTATAAAAGACAGCCAAGGGAAGCCCATTACCAAGGAAGAAAAACAGATTAAACAATGGGCGGATCACTTCAAAGGACTCTTGAACCGACCATCACCTGCAACCCGTCCAGAAATACCAACAACAG